CGACTGTATCGTGAGCGAAATGGTACAGACGAAGACGAGAAAGAACACAGTAGTGGGAACGATTCCGCAATCACTTGGACAGCTTCCAATTTTCCTCGACTGACTTTTTACATGGCGAACGCGACGCGCCAGCAAAACACCCGCCATCCGGTACCCCTCAAATCCCCTGAATCCTCTCCCTCCCTCACAGTGAGCTTGTGTGCACTCGTTCCGTTGCTCTAGACTACTCCAGACTCTGTACGGCATTCGCTCCGGACCATGGGGCGAAGCAGAGAATACGTACACGGAATTGGAAAGTGGCATTGGAATTTTTACCCACATGTCGATCCCCTCGTCGCCCGGACTAACTGAATTATTTACTCGGGTTTTTTCTTCATCTGGAATTTCGAAAATTTTTACAAAGTCCATGGACATGGAGTGGATTTTGGGGAAGGGAACGTGGGAATTTTCGTTGGATTCATTATTTGATTGGGTTTCAATTGAATATTCAATTGGAGCGAGAAATATTGGAAATTTTTTTCCTGGGGAGAAAAATAAAAATCTTTGTACTGGATAGGTAGAGCGGAGTGTCCGGTGGATGGCTGTGTTTATTTTGAGACTGTCTCGTCATAGAACAGAATATTTAATTCATTTTCTTGGAAGTATTCACGAAATGTTCCAAATAGTTAATTTCCAACAAATATCAGGGGTTTGTCGTTCTAAAGCTACCAAATATCAACACAAAATGTTACATTTGAGTATTTACCGCCTACAGCACAAGAGGAAAACTGTTAGGTACACTGTTAAAAAAAATGAAATTTCATGGACAGTTGACTACGAATTTTCAGGACAATCATGAAAAAAATCATGAAATTTCAAGTTTTAATGAAAATTCAGTAAAATTCCAGAATATTAAGCGGTATAAAGACGAGAATTCCTCAAGGGGAGACTACTGTGAGTTTTAAAAGTCGTGGGTTATTGGAGGGAAGCTTTTCATACGTTGAAGATCGATTATATATTTATTGTTCTTTTGCCCGAAAACGCTTAAAATGCTAAAAACAGTCCAGGGCCTCCAATTTTTGAGCTACAAAAGATTTTTTTTTTTTAATTTTGGAAAAATGTGTGGAACAACAATTACGAGCCAGTTTTTTGGAATTCGACTCCTACACAGCTTATTTCGTTTTTTTTTAAATTATTGGACTACTGCAGTGTTGCCCGGCTTTGCCCGGGCTGAATAAGAGAAAATTGAATACCATCATTTTTAAGAATTCCTTCAGTTAAAAATAAACACTTCAATGTTTTCGACTTTCCTAGAGTACCCGAGAATTTCCTTAATTTCCTTGGAAAACCCTCAAAATATCGTGACTTCTCAGGTGTTCTAGAAAAGTAAAAAAGATTGGAATGTTTTTTTTAATTGCAGGAATTCTAAAAAATCCTGGTAGTTAATTTTCTCTTATTCTGTCTGGGCGAAGCCGGGCTACACAGCTAGTTTAAAATTAATTTTCTCAAACTTTCTATAAAACCCGACAATATGTTCAAACGTTGGAGAAATCTCAAAAATATTCTCAAAAACTCGAGAATATTCTAGAATTTTTCAAAAAGTTCCAGAATTTTCCAGAATACTCTACAATTTTCTACAAGTTTCTACGGTGCACACTAAATTAAGAACCGTAGTGAAGTCGATTGGGGACCCTAAACTGCAATAATAAAAATACCATTGAAGTCTATTCAGTCGTTTTTGCGTAAATCGCGGCCGAAAAATGAGCAACAGATTTATTACATTTAAGATTCTATCAATATTGTCATCATTTCTCTAACATCCCTCGATTTCCCACACTACATTGGGGAACATTCTCCGCAGCTTTATAAATTTCCAGCAAAAAATGTCCCGTAACCTGTCCCCCAAAATCCCCCATCACCAAGATGATTCAATATCCCTCAAGATCGAACAAAATGTAAAAAATATACTGAACCTGTCACATTTCCTCATCCCCTCTCGCTGTAAAACCCCACAGTCCGTCTTTACTCCATCACTCAAGAAGCATTCCCATTTCCCAGGATTAAATTCTAGAATATTCAATGAAAATTTTTAGAAAATTGATACATTATGGAAAATTTTAGCTATCGTTAGTTCATTGTATTCATCTCCAAGGCTGGAACATCCAAAATTATTAACGGAGTGTCACTCATACGAGAATTCGATCAACGCTGTCACCATTTCTCCAACATCCCTTGATTTCCCCCCGCGCATTGGGAAACAATCTCAACAATCTACAGCAACAATCTCAACAGCTTTATAAATTTCCAGCAAAAAATGTCCCGCAACCTGTCCCCCAAAATCCCCCATCACCAAGATGATTCAATATCCCTCAAGATCGAACAAAATGTAAAAAATATACTGAACCTGTCACATTTCCTCATCTCCTCTCGCTGTAAAACCCCACAGTCCGTCTTTACTCCATCACTCAAGAAGCATTCCTCGGTAAATCTACCCACAACTGAACCTAAAATCCACCCTTCGCCCTCGATACCTATATTCTCTGCCAGAATAATGTGAAATATCGATACGAAATTTTATGTCAAATTTCTTATCCCCTGTACACGCAACTCGAGGATCCCTCTGGGATAATAAAAAAGGATACGGAAAATTGAAATTCGGTATGGAAAGGTCAGAGGGGAATGGACGATGGAGCGATGGGGAAAACTCGTGGAAAGTAGTGGGAATCGTGGTACACTGTAAGAAAGGTTTCAGAACTGGGAATTCATGCTGAATCGTGACCAAAATAAATTGTCAGTTCTTTGACGACTTCCATTCGCCCGTTTATACCTATGAAGATAGGAAAAATATTAGGTTGAAAAGTCTTATCCCATCCATTCACCAGTGAAATGGGTATATCAGGGGGCGACAGGAGACGAGAGTTTTATGACTTGTGCAAGTTTTCTCTTTATGAGTTTCAAATGTCTCTCAAATCGTGAGGTGAATTTTTTTCCCGCTCTGGGGATGGTAAATGTTAACAGGAATCATTTGGGTTTATCTCTCGTGCAGACATTTGCAATGGAGTTTTACCTTCATCGACAGAGCGGTGATAATAAAAACTAAAAACTTTTCACCTTGGTTTTTTTTTAATTGAGGATAGCATAATTTTTTTACTGGAGAATCCAAAATTCTCGCATCACGTGTAATTTTTTTGAGTTGATGAAAATAAAATTCGCAATTCAAGAATAAAAACTCTTCAATAAAGAATATTTAAAGTTTGGGTAATGGAAGTAAATATGTTAATGCAAGAATATTTTTATTCCCGTATGTTAAACAATAGGGAACATTTTCTCTCGGAGAGTATTTTTTTTATTATTGTACTAGGGGGCCTCGCCCCCTGCTCGCTTCGCTCGCCAACCCCGGGGGGGG